GAACAGCTACTTTAAAAAGTCGAAACAACAAACTGAAAAAAAAAGTGCAGTCTCTTTACCTGCTTGTGGTATACAGTATGCCGCTCGTTGTATTGCATTGCGTTCGAGCAAATGAGGAAAACATCATGCTGGCCAATAGCAAACGGAATTCACAAAACAGAAGAAAAAAAGAATAAAAAAATTAGGCAGACTTCCAACAACGATAATGTATTTAAACTATGAAGGTCATAGCTTAAAAACGAACTTTTTGGCGCAACATTCATAGCTCCAATCTGTTGCATGCGACAAACTTATCATAGCCCAATGATATGAAATATTTTTCATAAAGAATTTTTTTTTATATGCTCACCCTGTCCCTTACACCCCCGATAGTCAATAAATAAAAAACGGCACAAGGGAGCACACAACTGCACTCACCTCAAACTGTTCCAAAGTCTCGTACGAACCGTTTTGTAGCTTTCTCCTCACAGTGGCAAAGTCCATCGGGTACTTTATCAAATCATAATAATCAGGAAGCTACACAACAACAAAAAAAAACGGTTAAACAGTTTAGAAATTCCACCATACCCCGAGGCGTAATACAACCCAAACATCAGAAAATATACCTCTTTGGAATCAACCGGTTCTGCGTAAACACCGTAAACATCCTTCCTGCCAAGAAAAAGGAAATCGAAAAGTGCTCAACAATTACAAAGAGCCCTGATAATGCAATTATTTAAAATGTTTGCCAAAAAAAGAATCACATACTTCTGAAGTTTGTCCAAAATCAACTCCAACGCATTCTTATCAGGCAATGGTGCTGCTGCAGTACCAATATTATCCAAAAGAAAACATAAATCAAACAGAACCCTTTCACAAGATTAAGAATGGTAAACTTTGTAGTAAAGCCACAAAGAAAGAAAAGCAAACCAGTAGCCGAGTCTTGAGCAACAAGTTCTGCCATTTTTTCTCTAACCTGCCAAAAAAAGCCATCAAAAAAATTTAAATAAAAAAACTGAAAAATTAATAAATGCTATCTGAAACCCCTCTCCCAACAAATACAGCCTTGTATGTGTAGGTTAGGGAAAACAGGGGGGGTGGGCAATGGCTATTATCTCAGACAGAGACAGGAAAACAGAGACAACCATGCGCGAGTGAGTGCACGTACAATACAATACGGCACATGTTTGTGTTTGACACTCCGACTGTAGCTTGTTTCAGAGAGAGAAAGGAGGAGAGAGAAGAAGATTTTAGTAGTATTTCTTTTTGGCAGTTGACCCGATCGTTAAATATACATAGATATCATCAAAGCAGAGACAATTCTCACCTGACCCCCCAGCCCACACAATCACACTCACTGACCTATACATACACCAAGACGCTACATACTAGCATGGGCCAATTAAAAATCTCTCTCTCTCTCTTATATGTACATATACTATTATTTTATTATTATATATATATAAGCAGAA